GACTAGTGACTACTAGTGCTATTATGATAACCACATACTAAAATTCATCCAAAAAGTGGGTGTAGTCACTTTGTCTATAAAACTAGCTATAACATCCCAGTTTAACATCAAGTACCTCAGTTGAATCTGCAGATACTGTCATAGAACTTGCATATAAACAAAATGGAGATCATACAGATCGATGTAGTAATTCTATATTTCTCTTGTACATGGGCAATGCGATATTGTTATTAATACACAAATCTGACAGAATGGGCTTAATATTTATCCAACTTCAACACAAGAAATATAGAGGGAAACTTGAGAATTAAGAAAAGGTCAAACTAAGGAGCTATATGCGAGAGTATGACATTTGAGGCCAAGAAATTTATGTACGCTAACTAAATGCACTACGTTGTTTCTTATGTTCTTACTAGTGTTTACAAAATGAAATATCTACCACAGACCACTGATTTGGACAATGACACATCAAAATGACTGTTACTGTCTTCACATGGATTATTCGAGGAATTAATACAAATAGAGAATAGTGATCTTTTCCTTTCAATTTTTATTGACCTTAGAGACATTGGAAGTATTATACCTCAAAATATTTTGGTTACTTTTTCATTCAAAGGACCACTACCGAGATTTTATTACATGTAGACTATCATGTTATAAGTTATCTTAAATTCTTAATGACTTCTAAACATCTGGAGTGGCAAATCTAAAATCAGCCACTCAAAAATGATAACTTCTAGACCACAGTTTATGAGGCTTGTAGTATCAACATACAATGTGCCATCATGTTACACACAGGTAGAAGATAAGATAAGTTTGTCATAGCTATTAGCTGTTTACCTGAAATGGGTTACAGAATATCCTCTGAAGAAAACCTGGCTTTTCTTAACGTCGACATTGTTGTCAATCCATCTGCCCCAAGTATTAAGAGCCTTTGTATACGCATCCATTACCTTCAGTCTTGGGTAAACATGATTCCCTTCTTGGTAGTAGTTTTCACTGTGAAACCCAAGTATACATAAAAGAAAAACCATAAATTATTTCTGAAAAAGAATTTTAATTTCATGATTCTAGTATTGGTAACAATTGATTGCTTTAAAACATTAGCCCACTTTTTAAGTAAAAGTCATGTTTGGAACTATCAAAATCACAGAACTCACCCCTTAGAGGTTTTCTCATGAGTCCACCAATGGCCTGTATTGAAGACCATAACATCAGCATCATGGTACATTGATGCTCTCATGTCCATCACATCCAATCTTAGAGTTTCTGTCAAACCATTTTTATTGATAGGTAGTTCCCTAACCAGAAATGGAGAACTCACAAAATCAATGGAGCAGTTGAAATCCTGGTGTACAGATAAAACATAAAAATTATTTATGTATCAGTAAGAAAATCAACATTAAAAATAAATTTTGTTAAAGTCGCAGACACTTGATTCAGCTGACTTACCTCATAATGGAAAGCGTAAAAGCCTTTCTTTTTAAATTCTCTTTTGCCTGAAATTTCATACACTTTTTTCTTGTCCTTAACACTATGGCGAAGGATGCACACCAGAGACTCCCACATATTCCTGTTCAAAGAATCCCCCACAAATACCAGTCTCTTTCCTCTCAATCTCTCCAAAAAATCAGTTGCATTCAAGCTGCCAAAGATAAAATACATATTCAAATTGAGTTGGAAACTGATATTTGTATACGAATAGAAGCAAATATTATACAGATGAGTCTCCACGTAGAATTTATTCAAATTGATGTATAAGATTCTCGCTGCTTATGAAGGTAAACATATTCTATGACTTCTGTTACAAATGATACAGGAAGCTGGAGAATTACAGATAGCCAACCGTCAGGTTCAGTATACCTAACTCAAGTTTGGGCACCTGAGCTACAAATGATTTCTATAATCTGGTCACATGGAAAGAATATGCTTTGATCAATCAAGATGTGCACAAATTAAATTTCTAATTTCATAAATTTTCTACTTTGATCAGAAATTACCTTATTAGCATGAATTTAGGTGATAGAAACAAGTGCGATTAAGAAGTTTTATCATTGTTTAACAACCAGGATTTCATTGCATCTCGATTGAAACATAGAGTTCTGCAGGATCAGACTATAGAGTGCTATGGCCTAAATATGGCTCACTATATTTGCAATCAGTCTCTACAAAAAATACTTTTGAATTGGCTGCCTATCAGTTTCCTTGTTATCTACGAAACTATTGTGCTGGTGTATGATTAACCTTTATTTGTTTGCTGAACAACGTCACAATTTCTCAGGTGTTGAGTATTACAAATTTACAACATATTATGTATTGACTTTCATATCAAATGGTTCCTCCGCAACTTAATAATACACAATTATATAAAATCATAGCACAAAATACTCCCACGAAATCTATGACACACATTCCAGAACTTATTGATGTTTAAAACACAGTATATGAAAATAATATTACTAAAAGCATTATAACATATAATTTACCTGGGAATATTGCAGTGATTTGGCTGCCATCTCCATTTCACAAAATCATCATCCGGCCTTCCATTAAGATGGCAATCAAAATCTCTATCAATGTAAGGACAAGAACCAGCTGGATAATATGGCTTTCCTTGTTCATCCCTGACCCATCTACCATCAAAAATATCACATTTGGCAAAATCATCACCAATGCCAGAACCACCAGAATCTTTATGGACGGCAGTCGAATTCTTTGTATTCTTTAAATCATTCTCTTTTGTAACGTTAGATCTCACATTCTCTACACTATCTGAGACGTTTCCACCATTTTGTCTGTCAGTACTCTTCTCTGCAAATCTTGCTAATTCCCCAACAAGACTCCCAAGACTCCCATTCTTATTGCCATCAACAGATTGCACTTGACTGGTTTTCGTTGAAAGTCCATCATCCTTATTAGAACTTTGTGTACTGTTAGCTTCTGCAGACAGATTCCCTTGATGGGTATTCTCACCAAGAAAACTTGCATTCTGGGGTCTTTGGTTACCCAATTTTCCACCATTAAAATCAATGGAACTATAATTTTTCTCACTCTGAGAGGAATTCCCACTTTGGGGATTCTCAGAAACCAATTTCCCTAGACTAGAA